TGCAGTGTTTTTATCAAATGTTATGATTTTATATGTTTTTATAAATAATTGGTAAAATAAATGAATGCAAGTTGTTATTTACGCATCATCATGTGATTAAATAGATTTTTGTCGCCTGTTAGATGTTTAATGACATCACAATGAAACTTCCCATACGGTGCATCACAAATGTGAACTCAGGCCTTCGTTAACGTAGCTGAGTATCAGATACGATAAAAAGAAGGCCCCCATACTTTTTCACATTTATTTCCCAGATCTATAACATTAAAGATGATATATATGGCAGCTACCAGGGATGGGGCCCTGACTAAGCTCCCTCTATAACAAAATATAATATTAGCCCCTACAGCACCACGTAGGGTGCTTTATATCTTAATATCTATATCTAAATACAATGTCCCACATCATTTGTTCATATCATACATTCAACATGTATATTAATTAAATTGTATAATATATAAAAAAGAATACCCGGATTCAATTTTGGTTCTAAATTTCTTGTTCGTATTTGTAATCCGTTGCGATTCATAAATGTGTTGCAATAATGAATAAATGGCAAAAAAAAAAAAAAAAAAAAAAAAAAAAACAAACAAACAAACAAACAAAAAACAAACAAAAAAAAAAAAAAAACAACAGACAAACAAAACAAAACAAAACAAAAAAACATTGAAGTTAATTTAAATCTGAACTGTGGAAAACAGGTAGCAGTTCCTCGAAATCTGTTAGTACAGATAATGTTCAATTCATATCTCCCATAAGATTGCGATTATCATCTGTTTGGCATGCTCTACGTAGGTACAATTTTTAAAATGAGGTAAGTTATTGACAAACAAGTTGATGAAACAAGAATATCAGCAGTCTCGTTTAAAGTCATCATTTCGTAAGTTCTATGATCGATACAATGACCTTGTCAGCAAATACAATTTATCATTGAGTCAAATGCTGACTGACGTTTTTCATGCTGGTTGTTAGGCCATTATTTACACACTGAATTGTCGACGGATTTTTCCGTCGTTTCACGGTCGTGACGGGGGGCACACGGCGGGTGTGGTAGGTCGGCAGGGGGTGCCCACTCCTCCATGGCACCTGATCCCACCTCTGATGTTTTAGAGGTCCTTGTTTACTCTGCTTCTATTTTGTAATCGCAGGTAGGTTAAGGCGTCCCGTAGAATATCACAGTGCTCTATGTGCCTTCACATCTCTGAAGTACCAAAATATGACGTCATAATGGAAAATTACGTCAAGTCACTGCAAACTTGAGGCGTTATGACGGGAAAGTGTCATGAACTTTGCACTTTATATCAAACTGCATGTAAAATGCTAGTTAGCTATTGCAAAATTCACGGGTCGTTAAAGGTTTTTTCAGTCTTATATGTCCGAATATTTTAAAAATACACCGCTTACTTAACCTTGATTGAAATTCAGCATGTTCAAAATGTTTATAAAAAATAGACTTTTGAAATGTACTCTGTTTTATTATGTGTGTATAAAAGAGTCTGGCACAGGTGATTAATGAGGATTAATCTGAGATTTTTGTGGAAATCTGTAAGAAGAGGTTGTTCTCTAACTGAATCTTGCTTGGGAAAAATGTGTGTTGGCTTTGTTTTAATACAGATTACGACATTGTGTGGACAATATCCTCAAATTTGTAGGTAAGTTGAATTTCTCAGGAAATATTTTGTAATTAAGTAATACTATGACTTTTCCCAAGCACATTTCGGATACACAAGGATACAATGAGTTTATTTATATAACAAAATGTTAATAATTATTGTGTTAATCAGCTGCGCCGAAGCGATTTATATGAAACGCTCCCAGGACAGAGGACTCGGTTGTAATGGTCACCATGCTTATTCTGGGGATGGATATCCTCATCCATCCATCCTATTGCCGAGATTTTGCCATTTTTTTTTTTTTTTTTTACAAATGGACTGTTCTTGCTATAAAAAATAACTTGCAGGATAAAAATTATGACTCTGAAAAATCATTCAGCTTCTGTGAACAGAACGCTAGGGAGCATGTCACGTGACTGCCTAGATCACGTGATTTACGCATGGACAGAACTGTGGCAGATATGCATTAAAATCGGAGAGGACTACTTTAAAGAAATAATGAACACTAAAACCTAATTTTACTTCTTTCATGGAAGTAATTCAATTAGTTCGCGAACTTTTTGATCACGCCTCGTATGATATAAACTTGAACAAGTTTATTTGTTAATATTTATCCATTTTGCTTAGCTTCTTTTCATATTATTTTTTTTTTTTAAAGAAAGAAATGCAAAATTCACGAAAAAGAAAAGTCCTCTACCGAAATGAAAAAAGGACAAATGTTGAAGCACTTACTTACACTTTTAGTGGTTTACAGAGAGGAAAACAGATGTATTTGCCAAAGAGGAATTGTTCTTTTCTATGGCAATTTTGGAATTGGGATTTTGATATCAGAATTATATTTGGCATTAAGTAGTCAGAAGCGCAGATATCGTAATATTTATTCAGATAATTAAAAAAAAAATGAAATAAGAAATAGTAAACATTTAGAAAGAATTTTAAAAAAAGAGAAATTTGAATCATCGATCATCAAAACAAAGAACTTTATCAAAATAGGTTATATCTCATAAAAAATTAAGTTGGCCCTAATTTGTCGTAGAAAAATATATTGTATACAATTCTTTAATATATTTGTTTAAGTACCCTCAGTTCAGTTATTTGGAAGATTCCAATAAATGGTGAAAGCCATATTCGTTATCTGTAATTTCCTGCGGTCTCTCATGTAGATGATTGTATGTATCACATTGACTTTGTATATCTTGATCCTCAGAATGGTAAGACGACAGTTCCTGAAATCGATTATCACATTGTCATATATAAATTTGCTGCAATCATTGCATATTGTTTTATCCACCCCTTTTACTCACTTTGGGTTTGAAAATAAAAGATAATATTATGAGGTATTTTTAATCCCTATTGTGTCATCCGTAATTAGAAAAAAAAATAAATGCAGAAGAAACAAGCAAAACAAAGGTTACAAAAAACAGAAGTCTCTTTAAAATTGTTATCTTTCAAGTACTGTTAACACCTTACCACTTGGTTTCTGATGTCTCTGTGCTCGACATATGAGTAATGATTAAATTCACTTCTTGTTTCCAGGGAAAGTTGGTTGTCAAATCTATCAAATTAAATGATATTTTTATATCCGTTTAATCCGGAATGCCTTTTTTTTTCTAACAAACTAGGCATGTTACGCATGATAGAATTTTACCTTCCATTCTTCCGCCTTGTATCTTTCGCTTTCCAAATAAAGGCACAAATGATGACTGTGACCAGCACTCCAGCAAGAAAACCTCCACCTCCGATCATATATAATGAGTAATTCATTTCATTTACTGGAATTTATCGAATAATGAGAAATTAGTAAGCTAAAATTACTTGATGACAATCAACTATTTCGTTTGTGTTAGGAAGAAATTTAAACACATGCTACTCTTCAAAATACCAACAAAATACCAACAAAAGGATAGTAATGAAAGTATGAATAATTGCAAATTTCAAAACAGATTCTGAGAGTGGCTTTAAATAGTAATATGTATGTGTCTATCATAACAGAAAAGAGTATAGAAGAACAGAAAGGTTTCGATGTTCATTGAAATGTTCATTTGGAAAAATAATAAATTTCAAGATTATGATTTCCGACAATACATACATATTTGATAGTGTAGAAAAGAATCCGTGAATGTTTAGCTTACTACACTTTTATATAAAAACTATATAAAATTGAATTTCTTCAAAACAAAACTTTCATGTTTTATGCAACGGTTTTTGAGTTTGGGTACGCATATTCATATCAATCATGATATATGAAGAAAAAAATACTGTTTCAGGAAGGAAATTCATATTGATGGATTACCATAGTCTTGTGTTTGCCCGAAACGTTTTTCTGAAATCCAATCATAATACTTTCTCATCTTTTGATTTAAATGTTTTCGTGTATTTACAATTTTATGTCAGTCAGACGGGACATTACATGGTGCCCCATGTCGAGGATTACAACACCCTTGCATGGCGCCTTAAAGATCATTTTTCAGGTCTTCGAAAAATAGTAGGCTCACTGGGGCCGCCAGGGAAACTTAAAACATTACAAAACCAGTCAGGAAATGTTATTTTTTTTTCTGCTGAAATATCGCTGCCTAGGCTATAAACAACAAAAATAAAATGAATGGTTGATTAGCTATTAAATATGTTTTGAAATGGTTTATATGTTGAATTCATTACTTTTATATTTCAAATTAATAATCCATTAATAATCTATATTGTATTTTTACATGTTAAATTAAGACTATGCCTTTTAATTATAAAATTCTGCTGTTAACATTCGAGAAAGGTCGACTGATCGCGGAAGCCTAGTGATACGGAGCTCGTTTCATGTAAGAAGGACAAGAATTGATTCTCGTTCCCGGTACCGCATCAATCCTGAGACGTTTACTATAGGTAGTGTCTGTTCCTTCGCCACGCGTCCGTCGTTAGAAAAAAGAGTTTTTGGTCTTTTGAATGAGACATTAAAAATATGTTCTATGTCATTGTAGGCGTAAGCATGATAAATATCCCTCACTGCTACAGCCATACGTGTCATGCATAGTTCAAAAGGTATAAAATACTTAAACTACAGCAGGTGACGTCTCTATAGAAGTGAAATATTCTCGAATGGGACATTAAAAGTAAAAATAAAAACAATATTGTTTTCACTCATAAATTAAATCGCAATTTATGTGTTTTATTCATGAAAACAACATTTGAAGTGTGATTTTTCTTAAACATGAATAGTTTTATTTTCGAAGCTTTGATTTATTGTTAGTATTCGTAATTTAGTATTGAAAAATATGGAAAATTTACTCAATTCAAGACCAAAAATTCAAAATTTTCATTTGATGAATAAAATTGAAATAAGCATTGTTCAAAGGCATTGTTCAACAGAAAAAATACTTTTGCAGTACCTTCTACACATGTACGATTTTTTCTTAAGAACCCCTTTCCACATCCACATAGACCATTTAGACAGACATTAGCATTTTCTGTCCCTGTGCATTGTTCGTCAAGGACACATGGGTCATAGAGAATTTTCCCAACTTAAATACATAAAACTGCATGATTAGGGCGATTAAAACTAAAACTGAAATATACATGTATGTCTTCCATTTAAAATTCTAAATTCCAGACAAAAATGATCTTTTAATATTCGAGAATTAATTTAAATATTATAAATTTCTTGTTCTTATATTTTTCCGCCAAAAAATGAAATCAATGTATTTCATTGGTGAGTTTTTGAAAACTTAATTACAACAAAACTCGAAATTATAACAGCACAATTTTTTTCAGATATGAAATCATTGCTTTGTTTACGATTACAGTGCTGCTATCCCACAAGTTGACATGGGATGGGATTGGATAGATAGGATTCAGGATTGAGGATTCACGATAGAAACATATAGAAGTTAATCCAACCCTATCCTATTCTATCCTGTATCCTACAGCCAATCAGATTCGAGTAAAGGTTAATTCATATGTCAGAATAAATTACAGAAATGCAAAAGGATATAGAACGTGTACAAAAGAATCATTTATAAAATCACAAAAGAAAATAGACGTGTTTTTTTTTTCTTAACACACATTTCTACTATTACCTTCGAGTATATATGGCGTACGATCTAACCGTGAACGATCACCGGAAGAAGTTTTGCAAAGAAGAGATCGGACATCAAAAGATCGTATTTCTTCAGCATGTTTGGATGATTAACTCGATTCCTACTTGTGTTACAGTTCAATAACATGTTTCTCTGTTAAATGTGCTCTGTTTGTCTGGATAATTCCGCTTGAACCGTCAGCGGCGGACTATAACAGATCATAATCGCAGTTGTTTGGTGCAAGACCATGTAAGTATACTACACACTGTAAATGTGTGCATGTTTATACGTATCTCTCCCTTTAAGCAATGTTTTAATGACTTGAACTATTAAAATTTTATTCTATTGTAATATACACAGAAATCGGATGTGGAAAAAAGAGGTTGTGTAGAAAGGGGAGGGGTAGGGGGGGGGGTAAATATTTACAAATACTTTGTCACATGATCAGATGTATTATACCTTTTTCAGTTTGTTATTGCTATATACTCATTTCCCTACTGTGGTTAAGAAGCATTTTTTTCTTATCTGATTGCAATTTAGAATAATTAAATGCAGAATCATCATGATCATTTCTTATGCTACAGTGTATAATAAGCCCACTCAGCACTTGCATGTACATTGTATGTATGACCTATTGTGAGTTAAACATAAAACATGTAACATAAATTAATCATTTATTATCTTCTTCATTTCAGAGAATGGTACCCAATTTTGCTTGCCCTCATTAGTCATCACAATATAAAGGATTTTGGAACGACTTTACTTTACCGGTCCCCCCAAAAAACGTGCTAAAATACAGTGTCGCAGTATTAGAAGTAGGTATGATTAGATTATTTATTTTGTGTTTATGCATGTTTCATTAAAATACATAAAAATCATTATCTAAGTTGAGATGAAGTGTCTGCAGATTTTATGAATAAGTGATTTTCTTCTTTTTAAATTGTTGAGAGTAAAACTGAAATTAATGTATAATTGTTCTGGTCATCATTGTCATATGTACGAGGGGTTATCAAAAAGTTCGTGGACTGACGCGATAAAATTAATAATATGTAGTCTTTGCTTACAAAATTTAAGCGGAACATAAAACAATAAAAGTTTAAGAAATGTTGAAAATTTTAGCTTGATACGTTGATAATTGGCCAAATTATTCTAAAATTAAAAAGACTTTATGTGATCACCCGGCGCTGTCGCCGTTTAGTGTCATGACGGCCGCTTAACGTCATTGTTTCTTAATGTCCGCTCTCTCTACCTCATACACTTATCTTGATGAGATTACCTGGAGTTAAGTGAGGACTTAAACCCGTTTTATTTATATGAATTTACAATGTCATGAGCAGCTGTTATCAATGCATATAATATTGTAAATGGATCTTTATATGGGGAAAGATCCTCACTTGATTATGCCAGAATACTTAGCTTGTTGGAATTCAATTTCTACCACACATGATCAACGTCACTTTTCGACGTGACTGACTTTTGACACTCTGACTACAAATCGACACTAACTGTGCAAATTTCATCTATCTGAATCTTTTTGGGCATTAAATAACAAGTACTCTGGATGCATTTTATTTTTCTGTAGCCAGTTTAAACATTCCTTAGGTCAATACCAGTTTTTCCAGGAGCGAAACTCTATAGAGTGTTTGAAAAAGAAACCCCTCCCCCTTTTTGACGTTATTTTCAAGCCCATAATTGTTTGGACACTCCATGTAAAATTTACGATAAAATTTCATAGAAATTACAGAATGGGGTAAAAAATGCAAATTTTACTGAACAAATGTGTCGTACCACATGCCTGAATTAACGAGATTTTTTTATGAAAAATACTCATATCTAAAGAGTTTTTCTCAGTTACACTCAGGTAGAAAAAACGTCATATTAGAGGTTGCGCCGCCTGGACATACCTTTGCTTACAAAAACACTAACAATTTATTAAAAAATAAAAATTATGATTTATGCTTTATTCTATAGATAGAAAAGATGATGCTAACTAAATGAGTAAAAATTCATTGATGTACCTAAAGCGGTTTTAATTTTATGACGTTAGTCCACGAACTTTTTGATAACCCCTCGTATTTTCATTTTTTTTTTAATATTCAAATTTCAAGCAACAAATGAAAAGAAATTAACAAACAACACATTAAATATATTAATACAAGCAGAAAATAGAGAGAAAAAAACGTCCAAACATGTACTCATACTAGTTAGCAAGACGACGAGATGAGAAATGAATTATAATCTACAAGTAAATTATGTAAATTATGATTGTTTAATTAAGATATGAGTTTTGACTATGAAGTTGCAATATAAGATTTGATTTTGCTTGACTTCTTTAAAATTAATGCATTACTCTGGGAGAGAAAAAGGTTAAATTCAGACAATTGCTTGAAATGAGAAAGATAATCACAATCAAATACAGTTTTAATGCATAATACATATGACACAATTTACAATCTACATGCACATAATGGTGTGTGTTTTTTTTCTTCAGGACAATCCTTCAGATTTGCAGCTGTACAAATTGCACTTCATCTCATCTGCTGCTGGAATAAATCATGAAAGATTTTCAAACCAGTGTCCAAGAGCCCCATAGAGTATGAAATGAAGGTGTTCTTTATTAAGGAGATCAGTGTGTGATGTATTTGTTTTCTGTGCGTTGATGACATTTGTGAAACTGTTCGGTTACTTTATGACCATCTCTCTGACAACTACTTTGACATTTGAAATTCAATTTGAGCTACGGACAAGCAGGCCAAAGAATATGCATGTAAAACATACAATTGTAATAAGACATTGATAAACTTCAATTTAAACAAACTACATGTACATGTATCTTTGAGCTTGGCATTGAAATACATGTATAATTTTCATGGACACTTTTAATGAATTTGTCTCATGATAATGGAACATTCAATTGTAATACATTGTAGATATAAATTGTAGATAATATGTATTTGGTCCAATATATATAATTATACTTATATTCACTGAAAAAAAAACAAGATTTACTTAAAGTTGGGCTATAAATACTGTAACAACTGTGGACTCTTATGCATGTTTTATAAGATCTAAGGAATATGTGTGAGCTGACTACAATAATTGTTGCTGTCAACCTGTCTGACTATGAAGATTTAGGAAAATGTTTTCTGTTAAACATAAATTGATTAAATTCTCACAAATCAATATTTTTTTTAATTAAGATACACTTGTACGGCACTGAACTGACCATAAATTGAGAACAAACTGAAGCAAAATAAGAAACTTTAACATTTTGAATATCTTGATTTTTATTTAGCAAACATGATGAAAATGTTGCATGTTTGTAAAATATTCACATACAAACAAATGATGAACTGAACATTTCAAACAAGAATAACTTTAATAATAAATATAAAACAAATTTTTATCATACATTTAAAATTGAATATAATGAGACAATTTTAACTTATTTAATAAATGAAAGTCAACACATTCTAGATCTAAATTTTGACTTGTCTCTTCTCGGTTTATGGTCTTGTCATATCTTGAAGTTCTTATTTAGATTTATGTCAAAAGTAAAATCTAATATACAGCTGATATAGGTGCAGTTAGATCTATATGTTATTTTCGTGATGCCCAGTTAAGGGAAAAATAAAGTTTTGCATAAATTTTACATGAACGGATGAAACATACACTTGTTAAAACATCAAACAAATCCTACTTTTGTCATTACTTAGTATGTGTAGACATGATAGGAAAATTGTTTCTTCAATGGGTACAGTTATAATTCAGTGTACCTACCCCACATGAAAGATTTGGTATTCGTGGTCTGATTCTTATAAAGAGTTTAAATTTTGTTCCTTTTGTCTACTTTATCATAACATAAAAAAGTATCTGCAATCTTTATTGTTACCCCATTTTTCTCTCTCTAATTTTAACTCCATTTATTTTTCGTAGAGAACAAATTCGAAAAGAAATCACAAATACCTTGACGTCTCCCGATCATTGTTAGTATGTAAAATTAAACACAAATAAAGTTTATATTTTTTTCTTCAATTCTTCCGAAGTTCCAATTTCTTCACATGTTCGCTAGATCAATACTTGCATACGTTTTATTACAATCCTTTTGTTTGCATTTTTACTGGTTACTTGCAAATTAATTCGTGAAAGGTGTAGGAAATTAATGGATGTCGATCTCGATTATTTTTTCTGCATTAAAATTTATTACATTTAAATTAATTACATAACTACAACTGATTTTTATTTGATGGTCATTTTATAATATATTTTTTTTTCTTTTTGTCAAATTAACTCTTTAATATTAAAAAACTGAGAGCAGCAGGATAGGATAGGATAGGATTAGACTGAAATCACAGGATAGGATTGTGGATGCAGGATTCACCATAGGATAGGATAGGATTGTCAACTTATAGGATAGCAGCACTGTAACCATCCATCTAAATGATTGTTATAGTTACATGTAAAAGGCCTTATTCTGATTAAATTACCCTCAAAACATGAACCATTCCACGGTTTTCCATGTATGCAGGAACATATCTTTACCGCTGAGCAGTGTGTGTCGTTGTCAGAAGTATTACATTGCTTGTGATGCTGGCATGGCGTACCAATTGGAAGATCACCTTAAAAAAACAAAGTACAAATAAAATGTAAAGTCGAAATTAAATTGTTTATCTCCAGGATTTACCAAAGTATTGAGTGTAAATATACTTCTAATGACCCGATACTTTCTTTTCCATTTTTGATTTACTATTTTACGAAGTTAACATTACAGCTTCCATTATAAATACGTTATTAAAGTATGAATCAATGACTTATAATGCACTTTGATTTCTACTAACACTGAAGATTGTACTGATGATATGCATTTCCGGAAAATCAAACTATTAAAACTTCCTCTAATTAACTGTTGATAATGAGACAGAACTTTTAAATCTCTGCTTATTTTGTCTATCAGATATAAATAACAATTCTAATAAATAATTATCTTGGGTATTTTGCTAGATCTTTTAATGTTCCAAGTATTTATATTCTAAACAATCTTTAAGCGATCAATGCTCTAGCTCCTACATTGAAGTCTTGTTAGCTATCAAAGGTGTCCTTTGGAAACACATTTCCTAAGCAAATAGCAGCGTCAGTTTTAAATGAAATAACAAAAAGGAAAAATATGATTTTTAATGAGAGTTGTTTTCCTTCTTTCCGCTTTTATACATGAAAGGTGAGGCAAAAAAGGACAAACTCATTTTAAAATTTTATGAAAATATAAATAGTTTATAAAAGATGTTCTATCAGGAGACATTGTAATTTGATAAAATGACTTAGAAGGTTAACAAATAAGAATTTATTTTCTAACTACATGCAGTTCTTAAAAAGTTTATACCCTTATGACTGCGTGTAAATTTTATACGGTTTCAATTTTGATGCAACAGATGCACATTTAGACAAATTATGTCTCTTCAGTGATTCTCATGCCGAAATTTCTGAAATCCGAAATTTTAAATAAAAAAAATGAAGAGCTGAAAAAGGGGGTGCCTTAGACTGGAGCCAAATACTTCAAAGGATCAGAGTTATGCATGAGGGAGATAATCTTTTATTATGAAATAAATTTCAAACTTTTACCACAACAATTAAATATATATCCGTATTTTCAAAATTGTACTGAAGTACTTAGCTACTGGGCTGTATAAACCCTCGGGAACTAACAGTCTCGACCAAGGGGTCATAATGTAAACTTTACAAATTTTGATGCACCAGATGCGCATTTCGACGAATTATGCCAAAATCAAAAATATTAAATCAAAAATCGAAAAAAAAACTTGAAGAGCTGTAAAGAGGAGGGGTGCCGAAGATATGGGGTTTATGTCTCTCAGTTGACTCGATACGCAAAAGCATTCTCTACGGATGAACATATTCTAAAACAAGGAAAACTACTGACAAACAAGTTGATGGAAAAGTATACAAACAGTCTCTCTTGAAGTCATCATTTCGCAAAATTAATGGTCGATACAATGATCTTAACAGCGAATACAACCTTCCATTAAGTCAAATGCTGACTGACGTTTTTTTCATACTAATTCTGAGGTCATTTTTTACACACTGATTTGTCAACGGATTTTTACTTTTTTTCCGATTATGACAAAGAGCACACGATGGATGTGACTGGTCGGCAGGGGTTGCTTACTCCTCCAAGGTATCTGTTCCACCTCTAATGTTTATTAGAGTACTTATTCAACACTTAATTGTATGAGCATGGGGTGTTACAGGGGGTGGTACCAGACAAAATGTAATAACGACGCAAAATGTAATAAGCTTGGATAATCATATTTTGCGGTTTAACATTTTGCGTACGTTAACGCAGAGAGTAATAAGCAAAATGTAATATTACATTTTTGAGGGATTATAACATAATGTGTTATTTTATTTTTATTCAGCTTTGCGCTAAATGTAAGAACGCACATTGTAATAACACACTCTTCGAAATGCTACTTTTTTTTAATATTTCGCGCCGAGATTAACACCAAATGTTCTATGCTTGAAAATTTCTCGAAAGAACGTTAAAAAGTAAACAAACAATAAGGGTAATTAATAAAATACACATATTGACTGATTTAAAGTATGTTTCCAGACGCTTCAAAACTGACGATATGGTATAGAAATAATTACTTATATTACAACAGCAAAAAAATTCACTCTCCAATCCCCGAGTTGCAACAAGTAAAATGTCAACAAGAATAATGATATAAAACAGAAAAGATTTAAAGCAGCTTAGATATTCAGAGACATAATTACAAGAACAATTTTTATTTTTCGTTATAAAAACTACCAA